GTACAGGAGGGGACTGAGCACGCACCCCTGAGGGGCCCCCGTGTTGAGGATCAACGTGGCAGATGTGTTGTTACCTACCCTTACCACCTGGGAGCGGTCCGTCAGGAAGTCCAGGATCCAGTTGCAGAGGGAGGTGTTTAGTCCCAGGGTCCTGAGTTTTGAGGGCACTATGGTGTTTAACGTTGAGCTGTAGTCAATTAATAGCATTCCCACATAGGTGTTCCCCTTGTCCAGGTGGGAAAGGGCAGTGTGGAGTGCAATAGAGATTGCATAATCTGTGGATCGGTTGGGGCGGTATGCAAATTGGAGTGGATCTAGGGTGTCTGGGACAATGGTGTTGATGTGAGCCATGACCAGCCTTTCAAAGCACTTCATGGCTACAGACGTGAGTGCAAAGGGTCGGTAGTCATTTAGGAAGGTTATTTTGATGTTCTTGGGCACAGGGACTATGGTGGTCTGCTTGAAACATGTTGGTATTACAGACTCAGTCAGGGACATGTTGAAAATGTCAGTGAAGACACTTGCAAGTTGGTCAGCGCATGCGCGGAGTACGTGTCCTGGTAATCCGTCTGGCCCTGAATGTTGACCTGCTTAAAAGTCTTACTCACATCGGCTACGGAGAGCGTGATCATATAGTCATCCGGAACAGCTGATGCTCTCATGCATGCTTCAGTGTTGCTTGCCTCGAAGCGAGCATAGAAGTGATTTAGCTCGTCTGGTAGGCTCGTGTCACTGGGCAACTCGAGACTGTGCTTCCCTTTGTAGTCTGTAATAGTTTGCAAGCCCTGCCACATCCGTCGAGCGTCGGAGCTGGTGTAGTACGATTCAATCTTAGTCCTGTATTGACTCTTTGCCTGTTTGATGGTTCGTCGGAGGGCATAGCGGGATTTCTTATAAGCGTCCGGGTTTGAGTCTCGCTCCTTGAAAGCGGCAGCTCTAGCCTTTAGCTCAGTGTGGATGTTGGCTGTAATCAATGGCTTCTGGTTGGGGTATGTACGTACGGTCACTGTGGGGACGACATCATCGATGCACTTATTGATGAAGCCAGTGAATGATGTGGTGTACTCCTCAATGCCAACGGAAGAATCCCGGAACATATTCCAGTCTGTGCTAGCAAAACAGTCCTGTAGCTTAGCATCTGTGTCATCTGACCACTTCCTTATTAACTGAGTCACTGGTGCTTCCTGTTTTAGTTTTTGCTTATAAGCAGGAATCAGGAGGATAGAATTATGGTCAGATTTGCCAAATGGAGGGTGAGGGAGAGCTTTTTACGCGTCTCTGTGTGTTGAGTAAAGGTGGTCTAGATATATATATTTTTTTTTCTCTGGTTGCACATTTAACATGCTGGTAGAAATTAGGTAGAACAGATTTAAGCTTCCCTGCATTAAAGTCCCCGGCCACTAGGAGCGCTGCCTCTGGATGAGCGTTTTCCTTTTTGCTTATGGCCTTATACAGCTCATTGAGTGCAGTTTTAGCGCCAGCATCGGTTTGTGGTGGTAAATAAACAGCTACGAAAAATATAGATAAACTCTCTTGGTAAATAGTGTGGTCTACAGCTTATCATGAGATACTCTACCTCACACTAGCAAAACCTCGAGACTTCCTTAATATTAGATTTCGTTCACCAGCTGTTGTTTACAAATATACACAGTCCGCCACCCCATGTCTTACCGGAGTCAGCCGTTTTATCCTGCCGATGTAGCATATATCCCGCCAGCTGTATGTTATCCATGTCGTCGTTCAGCCACGACTCGGTGAAACATAAGATATTACAGTTTTTAATGTCCCGTTGGTCGGATGTCCTTGATCGTAGATCGTCCATTTTGTTTTCCAATGATTGTACGTTGGCTAATAGGACTGATGGAAGTGCTTTTCCCGAATGCACTGTATAATTATTCAGTGCGCCACTATCAAAACGTTTTTGTGAGGAAGGAAAACAGTCAATTTGACCCTGCCCTGGGATCCAATGAGCTTCCTAAACAAGGTAATGAAGGCGGTATCTTATGACATTGCATGGCTAGGTGTCCCAATCAGAATGCAATTTTGGATTTTAACTACTAAATATTACATTATTACATCATCCCCTTCCTCCCTACTTCTCAGATCATGAGCGCACACCGGCATATAGCCTCTGTCCCGGTCTGCACTACTGGCAGGCCCAGCGGCACTACAGTGGCAAAAGCGGCATGGTAATTCATATACCATTTGTTATGTTTATGGGGAAACAAAACTGGGGGGGATAAATTCTATCTGGGGGGGGGGGTCTATACCTGGCTTTTCTACCCCGTAGGGCCTGAATATAACGGATGAAGGCACGGTAAGAGCGTGGTGGACGGATAGACGTGGTTATGGACAGAGAGGAAGAAAGAGAAGAGCCGAGTGCAGAGGGAATGTGTGTGTTGAGGAAGAATGGCGCCAAGTACAAACCGCACTCTGTTGCCTCTGATAGCGCAGAAAGTTAACCTGACGAGTGTGAGGATGAATTATCTGCGGTTGCCTCGCCCTGTTCATGCAAAGGATGAATCTGGCACAGTGGTAGTGATATTTTTGGAGAAGTGGATCCCTGCCTTTTGGCTGACCCATATGTAGTATCAGGCTGGGTAGAAATGAAGTTGGGTACTGTTCAATCGGTGAAGGTAGCTCGACGGGTCCTTGTGATGGTTTTCTGTGTCTTCCACCCAGAGGGAGCGGCGCTTCGCCTCACGAGCTTTGGGACAAGACCTGTGACTTGGTTTTTGCAGATGCTCTTATCCAGTTAGTGAGTGCATAATTATTTTAATTTTTTTCATTTTTTTTTTCTTCCATACTGACCCCCCATGGGAATCGAACCCACAACCCTGGCGTTGCAAACGCCATGCTCTACCAACTGAGCTACATCCCTGCCGGCCATTCCCTCCCTTACCCTGGACGACGCTGGGCCAATTGTGCGCCGCCCCATGGGTCTCCCGGTCGCGGCCAGCTACGACAGAGCCTGAACACTAAGGTGTTTTAGATTCCAAGTTTATGGTCATATTGCAGCAGTGTGTAGGAGTGAGATTCAGAGATGTGAAAAGTGTTCAAGGGGGCATGGGACAAAGGAATGTGAAATATCGGTGGAAAGAACGGTCAATTGTGGGGGTGCCCATGTTGCTGGGGATTAGAAGTGCCCGGTGCGAGAGAGACAGGTTGAGCTTGCCAGGGTAAGAGTAGAACAGAAGGTGTCGTATGCTGAGGATGATGGGTCAAGGGTGAGTAGTAGGCCTAGGCCAATATAGAGTGATATGAATTTGTGTTTCAGTAAGGTTGGCTTCTTGGCATTCATTGCCATGGTTATCAACTGTACTACAGAAATGGAATGTAAATCACAGAAAATAGATGTGGTGGTGGCAGCTGCAGAGAAGTACTTGGGTGTACAAGGTTTTACTGCAGAAGAGTTACAAGGTCTGTTGCATGAAAGAGTCCCATCCTCCCAGGCCGGCGGCCTGGTGTAGGATCAGTTAGGGTCAAAGTAGTGGAATGGGGTGGTGTTTTTATTTTTATGAAATGGTGTTATATTGGTGGTGGTGCCATTTATTTGTTCCTTTCCCCCTTTTTTTTTATTTTTGTATCACTAAATGTAACATGACTGACCACACACTACCGACCACACACTACCGCACAGTAGGTGACAGCATGCACAAACAAATGTGCGAATGCAATTATACCAAAGAAGAAGAAGAGGTCCACTCGGTCTTCCGTCTGTTTTCCGTAAACAAGCACTCTAACATGGTAATATGGCCATGTGGAAACCCTAACCCTATAAAGGTGTGTATCAATTCAACCTTTATTTTTTATTTTATTTTTATTTCTCACTGATATGAAAGATAAGGTCCTTATGCTTCCAAAACCGTACCTCAAGCGATGTTAATGTTCAGACCGTGTGTCGGGCCTCTTAACAAAACTCCCCCATACAGAAGACGCCTTCGTCCAATGACTCTTATGTGTAATGTAATGGAACTGAAAGTGCTGATCAAGTGCTAAGTCCTAGCTAGCTAGCTAGCCAGTTATATATGGCTATTTTGTGAAACACTACCTGCCTCAATTCAACTGGTTATGACAGTAACAGTAAAATTATATTGTCATGCCATTTTATGTGTCAATGCATTGAAATGTGTATGAAAAATGTATGCGCTCACTGCTAAATGACTAAAATGTAAAATGTAAATTAAAGTTACCTAGCTGTCAAACCCATTAGACATTTTCACAAATAATTAGGCTTATCTGATATCTAAATAATGCCCTATGGCTGGTAGCAGTCTTGGCTGAAAACACTCATACTAGGCTACAAAGTTGGGATAACAGTTCTTCACTGAAAATAGTTCCCTCTAAAGCAGCGTTTCCCAAACTAGGGGTTGTGACCCAATGTGGGGTCGGTTGATTTGAAAATGGAGTTGCGAGAGAAGCTAGGTGTGGTTGTAATAAACAGAGTGGTTTCTGTTTTCTTCCTACAAATGTGGCTCTATCTTTTGAACGGTTTAAGCTACAAAAGATTATGACCCCATCACTGAAAGATAAGACTCTCAGGAACACTTATGTGTCTGTTTCCCTCTACAATGCCCACAAGCCTCATTAGAACAGACTGGACAAGACCAGGTTCTAAATCCGACTGGGGGGAAAAAGAACATCGTCAATTATGTTCTTTTCTACACAGAAAATCATACAAAATTATTACCTGATGACCTTCTGAATTTCACAATAATTTTCTGATGCATTTCTGTCACTTCAAACCATACTGTCTTCAGATTGAAATACTGTCAAAAGTACTGTCAGACTGATTTGTAATAGACTGTCATAGCCCCCCCCCCCCCCCCCCCAAAAAAAAAACAAAATGTAAACATTGGCTGCTGATTACATCACTTTTTTCATATGGTGGGGTTGTGAACTTAAATATCAAAATGGGGTCGCAGGTCAACAAAGGTTAGGAACCCTTGCTCTAAAGGCCGTAGGTAAATGACTTGGTGACTTTGCTTGTTTCCCTCGGTCAGGCCCTCTTGTGCTGAATGAGGCACGGTCTTCCCATAGTGCTGTTGATTGAGTGCGGTCAGGATGGGCCAGCAGATCTCAGGCCAGGCGGTGATGACCCATCTACCTGAGAAGCTGGTGAAACATGCAGGGCTGGTACGCGACAGCGGCTACCTCAACTACGATGAGTTCCTGGCCAGGGTGGCAGAGCTCAATGACGTGTAAGGCCGGCCATGTCGTTACTGTCAATGTAGGCCTTGTTTGCTTTGTACTTAGTCACTAGACAAATATATGATGATACCAGGGTGGCAGAGCTCAATGACGTGTAAGGCCGGCCATGTTGTTACTGTCAATGTAGGCCTTGTTTGCTTTGTACTTAGTCATTAGACAAATATATGATGATATAATAATAATAATATGCAGATCTACAAAGAGAATCGCAGTCTTTCCCTTTTCATTTCCAGATGGGGAGCTAATTCCCCAAAGTAACATCCAGGTCCTCCGCTGGCACTTCTTGAACATTATCCAATTATAACACTAGTTATTAACTGACATAATCCAGGTTATGAACCTTAATCAAGAGCTAGAGCAGTATCTCCCTGCTAGGATTTACCCTAGTCTATTCCCCAATCAGTAGGCCTTGCTGCTACTGGTGTAAATCTGGCTCTCACAGGCAGTGAGTGACTGAAACGGAGGATAGTTAGGTGACAGTGTTAAGTTGTCATTGTGACTGTCCTCTGATCATCTGTTGAGTAACAATGTTTCTCTATGACTGTGAACTGGACAGGACGGCTAAACTAGCAACTGGACAGCAAAAACATCTGATCTTTGAAGTCCAGACTGGCTCGGACACCTCTGCTCTGTGGAAAGTGGCTGTGAGGATAGTTTGTACCAAGGTGAGAGAGGGACAAATTAAAGTTGGTCTCTGATGGAGACATGTCATTGTGAATCAGTCTCCACTCTCACTAGTTTTTTAGGGGGCATGTGTGTTTTTGAAACAGAAATGATGTGTGTGTGTGTGTGTGTTACAGTGTCTGTCGTAAGCACATCGTGTGTGTTCATGGCATCTGTGTTTTTGAGACTGAAACGTGTGTGTTGTTGCCCTGTGCTCTGGCAGATCAACAAAGAGAATGGGATGGTGGAGGCGTCTCGCATCATGAACCTGTACCAGTTCATCCAGCTGTACCATGACATCACCAGCCAGGCAGCAGAGGTGCTGTCAGCAGAGGGCGCCAGCCTCGCGTCTGGAACACTCCCGTCAGGGGACTCCTGCCAGGCCAGCATGTGGATGGGCAGGTTAGTACTTCAGTGTGTGTGTGTGTGTGTTTCTTTCATGTGTCTGTGTGAAGTCTTGCGTTGCCATCCTTCCAAGTCTTGTTCCTGGATGTGAGGAGGTCTGGAAGCTGAGGCTGGTCTGTGACTGGCTGCCATTGTGTGTATTCCCATACAGGGTAAAGCAGTTGACTGATGAGGAGGAGTGCTGTATCTGCATGGATGGGAAATCTGACCTCATTCTGCCCTGTGCGCACAGCTTCTGTCAGAAGTGCATTGACAAGTGGTAAGAGACACAGACACTATCCACAATAGGTCATACATACATCTGTTGTCATGAGGTCCATTTTTCATGGGTCATTTGAGTAATTGAGCACATTAACATGCCCACTAATAATTTGATATTAAACTGATTATAGCAATAGTATGGCATTAGTCATGTAAACGCCTAACAATAATTATCTTAAGTAAGCATATGTCAATTAAAACGCCTATATTTCTTTGCAATCTTTCAAATAATTAGGACATGTAAACCCGTTAATCAGAGTTCCAGCTGTGTCTGCGCATGTGCTCGCAGGAGCAGCACGAGCCTTCTTATGCGTGAGTGAAGTGAGCTTGGTAAAATCTAAAAGTGTGAATATTAGAAATAGTTTTCATATACAAACTTTATGTCCGAACTTGGGTACCGTGGCCCAGCGCTTGAAGCAAAGCCTCCTCCTCCACCCTCTCTCACTATTCCCCACCCGCAAAATGTCAATCACATCGCGCGCCCTACACTTGTCTGTCCAATGCATGTAAATAACTTGCCCACTCCATAGCAAGCTGCTCTATCCACACTGACTGGGGAAGTCATTTAACGTGGAGCTAAATATAAAAAAAAAAGAAAACGGTTTCAGAGGTTTAAAAAGGAACAGAAAGGAACGACATAAACCAATACATGTTTTGGGGTTGGAACCGATTCAGAACTTTATTTTGCTGGTCTGAACAGTGGAACGGAAACAAAAAAATAATAATGGTTCTGTTCAGAACAAAACGATTGGAAAATAATTTCTGTTCCAACCCCCGCTGAAACTTTGTTGCTTAGTATTTTTCAGTAATTTTTTTCATGTATGTTTATCTAATTTGATCCCTTAGCTCCTCGGATTGGGATGGGGGGAGGGGGGTTGTAACTTCATTTTGTATGTATTCATGTTTGCTGACAATTATTATTAATAAATAAAAAACATTTGATCACCAAAGAAATGTCTTAACTCCGTATCAAATAGGCTTCCCAAAAATAATGAGTTTGGAGGGCTAAAACTATTAAATATCAAGGCATTAAACCTCTCTCTTAAAGCTTCTATTATACCAAAACTGTATCTAAATCCAAACTGGTTTTCCAGTAGGCTACTAAGAGAGGCACATCCGATGTTTAAAATGGGTCTCTTTGTTCTTATACATATTAAACTATCCATTTCCGGTTGATTGACAATGGAACCCTGTTGAAAGTATCCTCCTTAAATGAAGCCATGCAGAGTTCCCTACAATTCCAATTTCATCCTCTAGAAGAGACGGCATATAAACTCAGCAAAAAAAGAAAAGTCCTCTCACTGTCAACTGCGTTTATTTTCAGCAAACTTAACATGTGTAAATATTTTTATGAACATAACAAGATTCAACAAATGAGATCTAAACTGAACAAGTTCCACAGACATGTGACTAACAGAAATTGAATAATGTATCCCTGAACAAAGGGGGGGTCAAAATCAAAAGTAACAGTCAGTATCTGGTGTGGCCACCAGCTGAATTAAGTACTGCAGTGCATCTCCTGCTCATGGACTGCACCAGATTTGCCAGTTCTTGCTGTGAGATGTTACCCTACTCTTCCACCAAGGCACCTGCAAGTTCCCAGACATTTCTGGGGGGAATGGGCCTAGCCCTCACCCTTCGATCCAACAGGTCCCAGACGTGCTCAATGGGATTGAGATCTGGGCTCTTCGCTGGCCATGGCAGAACACTGACATTCTTGTGTTGCAGGAAATCACGCACAGAACGAGCAGTATGGCTGGTGGCATTGTCATGCTGGAGGGTCGTGTCAGGATGAGCCTGCAGGAAGACACATGAGGGAGGAGGATGTCTTCCCTGTAACGCACAGCGTTGAGATCGCCTGCAATGACAACAAGCTCAGTCCGATGATGCTGTGACACACCGCCCCAGATCATGACGGACCCTCCACCTCCAAATCGATCCCGCTCCAGAGTACAGGCCTTGTTGTAACGCTCATTCCTTCGACGATAAACGCGAATCCGACCATCAACCCTGGTGAGACAAAACCGTGACTCGTCAGTGAAGAGCATTTTTTGCCTGTCCTGTCTGGTCCAGCGACGGTGGGTTTGTGCCCATAGGCGACGTTGTTGCCGGTGATGTCTGGTGAGGACCTGCCTTACAACAGGCCTACAAGCTCTCAGTCCAGCCTCTCTCAGCCTATTGCGGACAGTCTGAGCACAGATGGAGGGATTGTGCGTTCCTGGTGTAACTCGGGCAGTTGTTGTTTCCATCCTGTACCTATCCCACAGGTGTGATGTTCGGATGTACCGATCCTGTGCAGGTGTTGTTGCACGTTGTCTGCCACTGCGAGGACGATCAGCTGTCCGTCCTGTCTCCCTGTATCGCTGTCTTAGGCGTCTCACAGTACGGACATTGCAATTTATTGCCCTGGCCACATCTGCAGTCCTCATGCCTCCTTGCAGCATACCTAAGGCATGTTCACGCAGATGAGCAGGGACCCTCGACATCTTTCTTTTGGTGTTTTTCAGAGTCAGTAGAAAGGCCTCTTTAGTGTCCTAAGTTTTCATAACTGTGACCTTAATTGCCTACCGTCTGTAAGCTGTTAGTGTCTTAACGACCGTTCCACAGATGCATGTTAATTAATTGTTTATGGTTCATTTAACAAGCATGGGAAACAGTGTTAAAACCCTTTACAATGAAGATCTGTAAAATTATTTGGATTTTTACGAATTATCTTTGAAAGACCGGGTCCTGAAAAAGGGACGTTTCTTTTTTTTGCTGAGTTTATATTACAGCAAATAAATGGCTAAACTCCAATCTACTGATAGAGGATAAACCAATTTTCTTGGAGAGAATGTATAAGGAAGGTATCATGTTCATGAATGACATTTGTAAACAACGACGGTAAAATTGTCACACAAGCAATTAATGAAGGTGTATGGAGATGTATGCACAATAAGTAAGGGATAATCAACGAGGGGCTATGCGTTCTCTGGAAAATAATGGGGAAGATTATTCCATTTAATTAAATCTGCTTTCATATTGTTGAGTAATGGAATAAAGTTATCTTTATATATTTGTCACTTATTAAGCATCTTTATTTTTTGTGGTCCACTTAAAGGATTGCTGTAAATCGTGAGTTTTTCTTTTTCTTATTGCCAATATTTCATTTTTTTCCATGTACATTTTATAACCTGAGATTTGAGTATTCTGAAAATATTTTTATCAAAGGGGGCATTATCAGGTATATCAGGAGATCATCTGCAAATAAGTTTTGTTTAAATGTATGTTTACCAATACTGATACCTGTTACATTTTGAGTCCTCTATAATTCTTACTGCAAGCGGTTCAATTGCCAGTGCAAACAGGAGGGGAGAGATAGGACATCCCTGTCTTGTGCCCCTTTCTAAAGCAATTTCTTCAGATAATGTATTATTTGAGTATATTTTTGCTTTAGGATATTTATACAATAATTTTATGAAATGTATTATTTCAGCTGGAAATTTGAAAGCTTCCAAAGTTTTGAGTAGGAACGGCCATCCAAGACAATCAGCCATTATTATAGCCATTGAATTCTACCGTGCAAATATACCGTGTGTTATAGGGAAATAATGCACGCTCTAGAATGCCCTTCAAGCCAATCAGAAACGAGTATTCAACAATGCCATGGTATAAAAAAAGTATAAACTGGGTGGTTCGAGCCCTGAATGCTGATTGGCTGACAGCCGTCAGGAACGAATTGCAAAAATCTCTGAAGCTGGAGACACTTATCTCCCTCACTATCTTTAAGCATCAGTTGTCAGAGCAGCTTACCGATCACTGCACCTGTACACAGCCCATCTGTAATTAGCCCACACAACTACCTCATCCCCATATTGTTATTTACATTGTTATTTATTTTGCTCTACTTTCACATCATCTTCTGCACATCTATCACTCTAGTGTTAATGCTAAATTGTAATTATTTTGCACTATGGCCTATTTATTACCTTACCGCCATAACTTAATACATTTGCACACACTGTATATAGATTTTCTATTGTGTTATTGACTGTACGTTTTGTTTATTCCATATGTAACTCTGTGTTGTTGTTGTTTTTATCGCACTGCTTTGCTTTATCTTGGCCAGGTCGCAGTTGTAAATGAGAACTTGTTCTCAACTGGCTTACCTGGTTAAATAAAGGTAAAATAAATAAATAAAAATATCAGACTTCATACCACGGGTATGACATAACATATATTTTTACTGCTCTAATTACGTTGGTAACCAGTTTATAATAGCAATAAGGCACCTCGGGGGTTTAGGGTATATGGCCAGTATACCACGGCTAAGGGCTGTATCCAGGCACTCCACGTTGCGTCTTGCGTAAGAACAGCCTTTAGCCGTGATATATTGGCCATATACCACACCCCCTCGGGCCATATTGCTTAAATAACCAACTCATCGCAGCTCTTCCACAAATGGAAGAGGCAATTACTTAGAAGCTAAAGGAATGAATTAGTTTGTCTGCCACCAATTAAAAAGTACCGTATAAATGGCATAAAATGACCAATATAAATCGTAAAATGTATCAGTTTCACTTACGGTCAAGAGGGTTGACAACTATGCTTCATAAAATTCAAGATAGTTGGGAACAGATTTTCGAAGTACCAATACCATGACATCGGGTTTATGAACTGATATACAAAACTTAAATTTAAGCTATTATATCAAATTCTCGCTACAAAAGAATGCTCAGTGTACAGTCGTGGTCAAAAGTTTTGAGTGACACAAATACTAATTTTCACAAAGTCTGCTGTCTCAGTTTTGATGATGGCAATTTGCATATACTCTAGAATGTCATGAAGAGTGATCAGATGAATTGCAATTAATTGCAAAGTCCCTCTTTGCCATGAAAATGAACTTAATCCCCAAAAAACAATTTCACTGCATTTCAGCCCTGCCACAAAAGGACCAGCTGCCATCATGTCAGTGATTCTCTCGTTGACACAGGTGAGAGTGTTGACGAGGACAAGGCTGGAGATCACTCTGTCATGCTGATTGAGTTAGAATAACAGACTGGAAGCTTTAAAAGGAGGGTGGTGCTTGAAATCATTGTTCTTTCTCTGTTAACCCTGGTTACCTGCAAGGAAACATGTGCCGTCATCATTGCTTTGCACAAAAAGGGCTTCACAGGCAAGGATATTGCTGCTAGTAAGATTGCACCTAAATCAACCATTTATCGGATCATCAAGAACTTCAAGGAGAGAGGTTCAATTGTTGTGAAGAAGGCGTCAGGGCGCCTAAGAAAGTCCAGCAAGCGCCAGGACCGTCTCCTAAAGTTGATTCAGCTGCGGGATCGGGGCACTACCAGTACAGAGCTTGCTCTGGAATGGCAGCAGGCAGGTGTGAGTGCATCTGCACGCACAGTGAGGCGAAGACTTTTGGAGGATGGCCTGGTGTCAAGAAGGGCAGCAAAGAAGCCACTTCGCTCCAGGAAAAACATCAGGGACAGACTGATATTCTGCAAAAGGTACAGGGATTGGACTGCTGAGGACTGGGGTACTCATTTTCTCTGATGAATCCCCTTTCCGATTGTTTGGGGCATCCGGAAAACACCTTGTCCGGAGAAGACAAGGTGAGCGCTACCATCAGTCCTGTGTCATGCCAACAGTAAAGCATCCTGAGACCATTCATGTGTGGGGTTGCTTCTCAGCCAAGGGAGTGGGCTCACTCACAATTTTGCCTAAGAACACAGCCATGAATAAAGAATGGTACCAACACATTCTCAGAGAGCAACTTCTCTCAACCATCCAAGAACAGTTTGGTGACGAACAATGCCTTTTCCAGCATGATGGAGCACCTTGCCATAAGGCAAAAGTGATAACTAAGTGGCTTGGGGAACAAAACATCAACATTTTGGGTCCATGGCCAGGAAACTCCCCAGACCTTAATCCCATTGAGAACTTGTGGTCGATCCTCGAGGCGGGTGGACAAACAAAAACCCACAAATTATGCAAGAATGGGCTGCCATCAGTCAGGATGTGGCCCAGAAGTTAATTGACAGCATGCCAGGGCGGATTGCAGAGGTCTTGAAAAAGAAGGGTCAACACTGCAAATATTGCCTCTTTGCATAAACTTAATGTAATTGTCAATAAAAGCCTTTGACACTTATGGAATGCTTGTAATTATACTTCAGTATACCATAGTAACATCTGACAAAAATATCTCATAACACTGAAGCAGCAAACTTTGTGACGACCAATACTTGTGTCATTCTCAAAACTTTTGACCACGACTGTATATGGGTCATTGAACAGTCAGACCGGTGCAGGCTGCCACGAGGAAACAGAATCAATAGAACATCTCTTTTGGTACTGTCCATCTGTGGCTTGTTTTTGGAGTCAGGTCTAGGAATGGTTTGTTATATCAGGGTGCGGTTGGACCTGCAAACTGTATTGTTGGGGGATTTGAAGGATCACTGTCAAATGTTTATTTATGGGGCATTTTCGGTAGAAATGCTGCAGATGGGGAGGTTCAGGTCCCTAGTGAGACACCATGGTAGAATGGAGGGATGTATTGCAAGAGGAAATGGTAGAATGATTTATTGGGAGAGATGGGTTGATCTGTGGCTGTTTGAAGGTTGGCATTAATGAGTGTTGGAAGAAATACACTTGCACAATATAAAGGTTTGAGATCCTCCAATCAGGGGTGAGGGTGGGGATGTGATTGAATGTTTTGTGTTTAGTTATGTATGTTTTGGTTTCACGCTGTGAGCGGTGTGTGTGCTGGTCTGGTGGTTATGGGTGCGCTCGCTTCCATGCCCGCCTGGGCGTCGGGTGGTGCTTGGTCCTTCCCACCCTGGGAAAATCCCATTGGGCCAAGGGCGGGGGCTTTGCCCTGCTGGCATCTCTGGGGTGGGTGGGGGAAATCGCATCCACTGACTAGAGCACCCACTGATAGGAACGGCCATTTGTATTGTCTTTGTATTATATTGTTGTTTTAATAAATAAAATAATATGGTCGCTTTGATAACATGTTTATTTTGATTGGCGATTTTCTGCATTCATCAAAGTCCCTTCAGGTAGCCTAATTTAGGCCTGATGTCCATTTTAAACAGGATTATTAGGGAAATCGTTCTTCTTGCAAAGCATGTAGACGTTTTAATCAAACTACATTTAATCAGTGTCCATGTAAACATACCCAATGAAATGATTTGGTTTGTTTTCATAGGAGTGGGCAGAGCAGGAATTGTCCGATATGCCGCTTGCAAGTGACCGCTGCCAATGAGTCGTGGGTGATGCCTGATGCCCCTACAGAGGAGGACGTAGCTGGCTATATCCTCAACCTGGCTGACGAGGCAGGCCATCCGCACAGACCTTAAACTACTCAACACTGAGGCACTTTGATTAACCACTGACAGACAAACTGATATCAAGAATAGTTTGGGGAAGGGTCTGGAGTTTTTCGCCAGGAAAAGCACCTTGCCCTGGTTTTGGGTGTATGTAGATAAGATGGTTTGCTTTATAGGAATTTGCCTGCTGTGATGGTTTATATTTCTTTTATGTTCTTTTTCTTTTTTACTTTTCCATATTATTTCAAGATGACTTTTACATGATTGCTCTTAAACTTTGTGTGTGTGTATGTACAGTACCAGTCAATAGTTTTAGAACACCTACTCATTCAAGGGTTTTTCTTTATTTTTACTATTTTCTACATTGTAGAATAACAGTGAAGACATCAAAACTATGAAATAACACATATGGAATCATGTAGTAACCAAAAAAGTATTAAACAAATCAAAATATATTTTATATTTCAGATTCTTCAAATAGCCACCCTTTGCCTTAATGACAGCTTTGCACACTCTTGGCATTCTCTCAACCATCTTATAATAATAATAATATGCCATTTAGCAGACGCTTTTATCCAAAGCGACTTACAGTCATGCGTGCATATTTTTTTTTTTGTGTATAGGTGGTCCCGGGGATCGAACCGACCACCTTGGCATTACAAGCGCCATGCTCTACCAGCTGAGCTACAGAGGACTACAGTCTTGAAGGAGTTTCCACATATGCTTAGCACTTGTTGGCTGCTTTTCCTTCATTCTGCTGTCCGACTGGGTTGGGTTGGGGGATTGTGGAGGCCAGGTCATCTGATACAGCACTCCATCACTCTCCTTCTTGGTAAGATAGCCCTTACACAGCCTGTAGGTGTGTTGGGTCATTGTCCTGTTGAAAAACAAATGATTGTTTGGGATGGCTGCAGAATGCTGTGGTAGCCATGCTGGTTAAGTGTGCCTTGAATTCTAAATCAATCACAGAAAGTGTCACCAGCAAAGCACCCCCACACCATAACACCACCTCCTCCATGCTTTACCGGTGGGAACTACACATGTGGAGATCATCCGTTCAACCACACCGCGTCTCACAAAGACATGGCGGTTGGAACCAAAAATCTCAAATTTGGACTCCAGACCAAAGGACACATTTCCACCGGTCTAATGTCCATTGCTCGTGTTTCTTGGCCTAAGCAGGTCTCTTCTTCTTGTTGGTGTCCTTTTAGTAGTGATTTCTTTGCAGCAATTCGACCATGAAGGCCTGATTCACACAGTCCCCTCTGAACAGTTGATGTTGAGGTGTGTCTGTGACTTGAACTCCATGAAGCATTTATTTGGGTCTGCAATTTCTGAGGCTGGTAACTCTAATGAACTTATCCTCTGCAGCAGAGGTAACTCTGGGTCTTCCATTCCTGTGGTGGTCCTCAAGAGAGCCAGTTTCATCATAGCGCTTGATGGTTTTTGTGATTGCACTTGAAGAAACTTTAAAAGTTCTTGAAATGTTCCATATTGACTGACCTTCATGTCTTAAAGTAATGATGGACTGTTGTTTCTCTTCGCTTATTTGAGCTGTTCTTGCCATAATATGGACTTGGTCTTTTACCAAATAGGGTAATAAATAAAAAAAACTTGTCACAACACAACTGATTGGCTCAAACGCATTAAGAAGGAAAGAAATGCCACAAATTAACTTTTAAGAAGGCACACCTGTTAATTGAAATGCATGAAGCTGGTTGAGAGAATGCCAAGAGTGTGCAAAGCTGTCATCAAGGCAAAGGCTGGCTATTTGAAGAATCTCAAATATAAAATTGGTTTAAAACTTTTTTTGTTATGTGTTATTTCATAGTTTTGATGTCTTCACTATTATTCTACAATGTAAAAATAAAGAAAAACCCTTGAATGAGTAGGTGTGTCCAAACTTTTGACTGGTAGTGTATATTACACACACAATCTATCTCTCCACAAGAATATATAATACAACCACATTGTTTCCGTTCGGCTTGGTCCTGCCTAATCTTATAATTACACTGTGAGTACTGAATAGTAGTAGATATTTTTATAGGCACCTCTAACTGCTGTTGAAATGTCCATAAATCACTAGTCACATAACTACTATAATTTCATTTTGAAATCCTATAACACTCAATGTGAATGGTTTGTCATTTGATGAAATGTGAAATTAAGTACAATAATCTCATGGATGCTTCAGCCATGATTAAACGTTCTATTTTCTCCTCAAAATGTTAATTAGGTGAGGTGATTTATCCCCCCCAAAATGTTGCTTTTAGTTTTATATATGAATCAGTAAAACAAAATGTAATTATTGTTTACAAAATCATTTATATATCATGGGTACTTAAGCATGGCCAGTGCATTGGATGTTTTAAATATTTAACTTTTTATTAAGTGTGAGGCTGTGAATTAAAATAATACTACAAATAATAGAGTCCAAATATGTTATTCCCATTAGTGAACTAAAGATTTGAGCTGTATGTACTTTACTCATGACTGGCTTTTACTATACTGAATGAGAATATAAACGCAACATGTAAAGGGTTGGTCCCATGTTTCATGAGCTTAAATAAAAGATCCCAGAAACTTTCCATATGCACAAAAATATTATTTCTCTCAAATGTTGTGCACAAATTTGTTTACATCCCTGTTAGTGAGCATTTCTCCTTTGCCAAGATAATCCATCCACCTGACAGGTGAGGCATATAAAGACGCTGATTAAACAACATGATCATTTCACAGGTGCACCTTGTGCTGGGGACAAAAGGCTACTCTAAAATGTGCAGTTTTGTCTCAAGTTTTGAGGGAGCGTGCAATTGGCATGCAATTGGCACATTGAATGTTCAATTCTCTACCATAAGCTGCCTCAGTCTTTTTTGAGAATTTGGCAGTACATCCACAACCGCAGACCACCTGTAACCACGCCAGCCCAGGACCTCCACATCCGGCTACTTCACCTGCGGGATTGTCTGAGACCAGCCACCAGGACAGCTGATAGAACTGTGGGTTTGGTATGGGCAGGCATAAGCTACCGACAACGAACACAATTGCATGTTATTGATGGCAATTTGAATGCAGAGACATACTGGGATGAGATCCTGAGGCCCATTGTCGTGCCATTCATCTGCCACCATCACCCCATGTTTCAGCATGATAATGCACAGCCCCATGTCGCAAGTATCTGTGCACAATTCCTGGAAGCTGAAAATGTCCCAGTTTTCCATGGCATGCATACTCACCAGACATGTCACCAATGTTCCCTCAAAACTGCGCGCCTCCGCGGCCGCGCACTTCCTTCAGGTCTGCGGCGCAGAATAAATGCCATGCTGCGCAGAGACTCAAGAGATTGAACTTCACTGAGTTCGCCCCATTAATTTGCACTATATAGATCAACGTTTTTTCTGTGATCGAATCAACATTGTCAGCCACTTTTCAATGCAACAAACCAAAACTAATTCTAACTTTGCAAGATTGAGTCTTTGATTTTGTTGTAGGCAGAGCCAGAGCGCAACGGAGTAGAATTCTATTGGCAGGGATAGCCCACGAGCGGTTTTCAATCACCCGCAGGTGAATGAGCTTGTCAGATCAGATCAGAGCGCAGAGCCGTGCGTGTGCACATTTGTTGATATTCTTTGCTTGTTATCGAGTTGTTATCTCAGTTATAGATAAGTGTATAGGTCAGCAATGGGGAGTTACTGCTTCCTACAACAGCACAAAACGTGTAGGCTACATTTCAAGCTGTCTTTGAAAAGCCGTTCAGGTAAAAAGCTTATGTCTTAATTAAAGGAGCAGTGTTGTATTTTGAGACAGCCTTGGATATGCAAATAGTAGCCTACATTGTCTATTTCTCTGTATGGTAATAATTATTAATTTTATTTTGTAAAGTGGCTTCTTGCATCGTACAACACAATACAATGCCATTTACAGTCACATGTTTGGCCCATGGTGTTACAAACCAAGTTAAAAATCCTTAATGTCAAGCCCTTCATAATGTAAAAACGTCTTTAAAATTCTCATGCAATGTAGGCCTGCATTGAACACCACATATAGGCTACTATAGGCTATATCATAGAAATCAAAAGCTTTTTCTGTGTGAAAATGTTATGGGATTCCCTCCATTGGTTTTGTTGGTAGGCCTACATTATGCTGAAATGGCTACTGTCTAAAACTGTAAGGGTACAGCCTCCGTGTTCACTGTAAACGCGTGCTGGAAGTTGCACAAAATTCTCACAATGTTCAAGTTTTTCGCTCACAAGACCTCAAATTTGCTCAGTGCCCCAAACAATTAGAGGGAACATTGCATGTCACCCATTGAGAATGTTTGGGATGCTCTGGATCGACGTGTACGACAGCGTCTTCCAGTTCCCGCCAATATCCAGCCATTGGAGGAGTGGGAAAACATTCCACAGGCCAAAAGCAACAGCCTGATCAACTCTATGCGAAGGAGATGACGCACTACATGAGGCAAATGGTGGTCACACCAGATACTGACTGGTTTTCTGATCCACGCTCCTAACAAAAAAAGGTATCTGTATTTCCCAGTCATGTGAAACCCATAGATTAGGCCCAATTAATGTATTTCAATTGACTGATTTCCCTATATGAACTGTAACACGGTACCTAAACAATGATTTAATTAATGTTAGTCCACAGAAAATACGTAAATCAAATATGACCTAATTATTTAGTGTTTGTAATGTTGACCAATTGCACTTTTGAATACTTTTGTAGTTTGCTGTGACATTCATATTATTAGTATTGTTATTGTGCATGTTTGAGTAAAGGGTTGTTCCATATGATTTCGATAACTTTCTGCCTGCACCCCTTTTGATTTGAACAACACATTTACATTTACATCATTTAGCAGACGCTCTTATCCAGAGCGACTTACACATTGGAACACCTTCATACATGTTTGCCCATGGTAGAAGTGGTCAGAAAGGGACCGTTTGGACCTGATTGCCAAAGGGTGGCTATTTGAAGAATCTCAAATATAAAATATATTTTGATTTGTTTAAAACTTTTTTGGTTACTATATTATTCCATATGTGTTATTTCATAGTTTTGATGTCTTCACTATTATTCTACAATGTAACGAATAGTAAAAATAAAGAAAAACCCTTCAATGAGTAGGTGTCCAAACTTTTGACTGGTACTGTATATATTGTAGCTTACACCCTATTTTACACCATTGAAGGTGGTACCACAAAGATGGTTGGAGGTCCACACATCAGATAATGTTGTCTTGATTGGGAATATTCAATGTTTATAAATTAAACTTTCAATCTTCCATAGGAAACCTATTGAAATCATAGAAATATAGATAATAGAATATACATTCACATTGAAGTTGAGGGTGAGTGGACCGGCAATCACCTGTCTGGTAGTAATTTGAAGTTTCAATTCAATTTAAATGTCAATGGTGTAGCAGCCAAATTGCAGTGGTCTGAAGGGATAGGCCCATTCTATGAATTATATTTTTATGATTTCTGTATTCCAGAGTATGCTGTGTCTCAACCGATGACGGGAACAACACAAACACTTCAGATTATGTAAAATAGTGTCTAAGCTACAACATTTGTGAAAATGAGAAAAAATCTATGTTCATGTGTTTGTTTAATAAGTGATGTTAAAGCTTACATTGTATTTTTATTTTTTACAGGGTTTGACAACCCTGTTTGTGAGCATTCAAATTATATCAAACTCAACTGTTTATCTTTTTCAGTGATGAAGACATTGACGTTCCACTACATGACGTCGGACATCTCATTCCAAAATCATGGGCATTAATATGGAGTTGGTCCCCCCTTTGCTGCTATGTTGGGACATTTCTGCTGGGACTTCCTTCCATTCAGCCACGAGCATTAGTGCGGTCGGGCACTGATTTTGGGCCGATTAGGCCTGGCTCGCAGTCAGCGTTCCAATTCATCCCAAAGGTGTTCGATGGGGTTGAGATAAGGGCTCTGTGCAGGCCAGTCAAGTTCTTCCACACCGATCTCGACAAACCATTTCTCTATGGACCTCGCTTTGTGCACGGGGGAATTTTCATGCTGAAACAGGAAAGGGCCTTCCCCAAACTGTTGCCACAAAGTTGGAAGCACATAATCGTCTAGAATGTCATTGTATGCTGTAGCGTTAAGATTTCCCTTCACTGGAACTAAGGGGCCTAGACCGAACCATGAAAAACCACCCCAGACCATTATTCCTCCTCCACCAAACTGGCACTATACATTGGGGCAGGTAGCGTTTTCCTGGCATCCGCCAAACCCAGATTTGTCCGTTGGACTGCCAAATGGTCAGAGAACGTGTTTCCACTGCTCCAGAGTCCAATAATGGCGAGTTTTACACCACTCCAGCCGACACTTGACATTGCGCATGGTGATCTTAGGCTTGTGCAGTCGTGGAAGAAAAAAAAAAGTGTCATACTTGAGTAAAAGTAAAGATACCTTAATAGAAAATGACTCAAGTAAAAGTGAATGTCACCCAGTAAAATACTACTTGAGTAAAAGTCTAAAAGTATATGGTTTTAAATATACTTATGTATCAAAAGTAAATGTCATTGCTAAAATATACTCAAAAGTCAAAGTCAAAGTATGAATAATTTCAAATTCCTTATATTAAGCAAACCAGACTGCACCATTTTTTTTATTTTTTATGTACGGATAGCCAGGGGCACACTCCAACACTCAGACATAATTTACAAACGAAGCATGTGTGTTTAGTGAGTCCGCCAGATCACAGGCATAGTAAGGATGAGTAGGGATGACCAGGGATGTTCTCTTGATAAGTGAGTGAATTGGACCATTTTCTGTCCTGCTAAGCATTCAAAATGTAACGAGTGCTTTTGGGTGTCAGGGAAAATGTATAGAGTAAAATGTACATTATTTTCTTTAGGAAAAGTAGTCAAATATAAATAGTAAAGTACAGATACCCCCAAAAACGACTTAAGTAGTACTTTAAAGTACACTGCTCAAAAGAATAAAGGGAACACTAAAATAACACATCCTAGATCTGAATGAATGAAATAATCTTGTTAAATACTTTTTTCTTTACATAGTTGAATGTGCTGACAACAAAATCACACAAAAATTATCAATGGAAATCAAATGTATCAACCCATGGAGGTCTGGATTTGGAGTCACCCTCAAAATTAAAGTGGAAAACCACACTACAGGCTGATCCAACTTTGATGTAATGTCCTTAAAACAAGTCAAAATGAGGCTCAGTAGTGTGTGTGGCCTCCACGTGCCTGTATGACCTCCCTACAATGCCTGGGCATGCTCCTGATGAGGTGGTGGATGGTCTCCTGAGGGATCTCCTCCCAGACCTGGACTAAAGCATCCGCCAACTCCTGGACAGTCTGTGGTGCAACGTGGCGTTGGTGGATGGAGCGAGACATGATGTCCCAGATGTGCTCAATTGGATTCAGGTCTGGGGAACGGGCGGGCCAGTCCATAGCATCAATGCCTTCCTCTTGCAGGAACTGCTGACACACTCCAGCCACATGAGGTCTAGCATTGTCTTGCATTAGGAGGAACCCAGGGCCAACCGCACCAGCATATGGTCTCACAAGGGGTCTGAGGATCTCATCTCAGTACCTAATGGCAGTCAGGCTACCTCTGGCGAGCACATGGAGGGCTGTGCGGCCCCCCAAAGAAATGCCACCCCACACCATGACTGACCCACCGCAAAACCGGTCATGCTGGAGGATGTTGCAGGCAGCAGAACGTTCTCCATGGCGTCTCCAGACTCTGTCACGTCTGTCACACGTGCTCAGTGTGAACCTGCTTTCATCTGTGAAGAGCACAGGGCGCCAGTGGCGAATTTGCCAATCTTGGTGTTCTCTGGCAAATGCCAAACGTCCTGCACGGTGTTGGGCTGTAAGCACAACCCCCACCTGTGGACGTCGGGCCCTCATACCACCTCGTTTCTGACCGTTTGAGCTGACACATGCACATTTGTGGCCTGCTGGAGGTCATTTTGCAGGGCTCTGGCAGTGCTCCTCCTGCTCCTCCTTGCACAAAGGTGGAGGTAGCGGTCCTGCTGCTGGGTTGTTGCCCTCCTACACGTCTCCTGATGTACTGGCCTGTCTCCTGGTAGCGCCTCCATGCTCTGGACACTACGCTGACAGACACAGCAAACCTTCTTGCCACAGCTCGCATTGATGTGCCATCCTGGATGAGCTGCACTACCGGAGCCACTTGTGTGGGTTGTAGACTCCGTCTCATGCTACCACTAGAGTGAAAGCACCACCAGCATTCAAAAGTGACCAAAACATCAGCCAGGAAGCATAGGAACTGAGAAGTGGTCTGTGGTCACCACCTGCAAAACCAGTCCTTTATTGGGGGTGTCTTGCTAATTGCCTATAATTTCCACCTGTTGTCTATTCCATTTGCACAACAGCATGTGAAATGTATTGTCAATCAGTGTTGCTTCCTAAGTGGACAGTTTGATTTCACAGAAGTGTGATTGACTTGGAGTTACATTGTGTTGTTTAAGTGTTCCCTTATTTTTTTGAGCAGTGTATTTTTACTTAAGTACTTTACACAACTGATTTAAATAAACCAATACCATTGGCTAATAAAGAGGTTCACATTTTGCACATATGTATTTTGTCTTCTATTTTATTACAAGAGTGTTGACAACCTCTGGTGATTGCCAGTCTCATATTTGACCAACTATGTGTTTCAGGTGCATGTGTTACAGTTTGCTTCTGTTTGTGTGAAATATTGTAAGTAACTCTTTATTGTCATATAAAAACATCAATTTCCCTATCGCATCATGAACATGTACAGTTGAGTGACAGTTTCCCAATTTTGTCATATTCAGCACATGATAACAGTTTACCTTTGACGTGCTATTTGTGGACCATCTCTACAGCAGTGATATGATGACCACATCAGAGGAGCACTCAAAGTAGTAGAAGGGGCTCCGTAGTAAACCTCTCTTAACAAACTTAAAAACACCACGCTCTCTCAAGACACCGTTACAACAGAGATATTGACCTCAAAAACAATGCATCAAAATGTATGGCTATCATTTACATGTGAGTCCCTTGACCTGACATAGCACAATAATATATCTCCTACCATTATGTACTGTATTTCAAATAGAAAGGCCAGAATAACACAATGACTGGTGGTGTGCTCTCGGATTGGCTTTCAATCTGGCGTGAGAGCTCCTGTATTGGCACAGTTGGTAGTATTTCTTGAACAGGACATGAGAAAAGGGAGAACTATGGCAGTGTCCCTCTGTTGGATCGCATGTTCAACTACAAACTGGTTTTTCGAGGTAGGGATAAAGTTCTGCTTTATCAAAGACCATATGAAAAATGCATGCAAACAAAAGAAAACACGAATCAAAAGAGGCCATGGGTACTGTTGATTTGCCTAGTGCGGTGCTGTTAGCTTGGTTGATTTGGTGTGGCTTACACAGTACAGTCTCATTACTTTAGCATGGTGCATTATTCTCTCAGTATTACCGTAGCCCAGTAACAGTACAGAATTTGGCTGTGGTCTAGAGCTGAAATAAAGAGAGACCAGAGGTCACTAGCCCAGGCAAGCGCAGTACAGCTCATCTTGGCTCAGCTCGGTAGTGTGAAAAGGGTCTCTCTGTGCTTTGGTCACTCGACCTGTGTGCCGCTAGCCTCTGTCTTCACAGCCTCCACCAGGAAGCTGAGCTCATTGCATAGGGTCTCGTGGCGGTAGGCCATGCGGATCTGAGCCACATTGGTCCGTCTAATGTCATTCCCCTCAGGCCCGTCCTGCAGGTAGTTGGCCCCCAGGAAGTGCTTCTTTTCCTGGCAGGAGTAAAGGGGGATATGTGTCACTAAATATGACAAGGCACACTGAGACATACTCAGGAGTTACATGAGGTGGTCAGGGATGGCTACATAAATCACTTATGAGGTGATGTCCTGGTGAGTTCTCCTGAGCTTAAGGAGGGTGAAAACATCTGTCACAGTCAGCAGGCACTACTATTGTTTACCAAAACACTACAATTTACCAAGCAGTTCTATTTACTGTACCTGGTGAGACAGACCACTCTGCAGTACACTGTTCCTGGCGATCTCACATGTGTCACAGGTGCTTAGCTTCCACAGCTGGGCAGCAATGGCATATTCCTCCATCAAGGCCTCCTGCAGCATGGACAAACAGACAGGGGTGAGTTTCCCCAAAGATTCTTTGCTAACATGCTACTTTATTTCACGCACAGAAGATTAACCGTCAAACACTGACTTTACAATTGTTACTCTCTGGTAGGTGTGCGGCTGGATTGAGTAGATATAATTATTATGGTGATAGCTTCATCTTGCCTTCTGGTAGGCTAGTTGTAATTTCTGCCACATTGCTTACACCAATCCAATCCTTTCAGATCTACAGAAGTGCCCAGTGGCTCTGACCTTTGTGTAGTGGAACTGCATGGGGTCGTCGGTGGACAGGGACACACACAGGCCCTTCTGGAGGAACTCCTTGAGAGGATTCTTGGAGTACTCCAGGAACAGGCTGTTGTTGCTTAGAGGAGACATGGCGATGGGGACCTGGGCCAGGTAATACAGGTACTGCAGCACAGGACTCTGAGAAAGGAGAGATGGAAAGATGTCAACACTCCCTTGGTCTTGGCCATGGGTAGGGGGGAGGGAGGGTTGGTGGTGGGGTTGTTGGGACGGATGTGACAGCTAGGAGGGGTCTCACTATATTCCTGGCAGGTGGGATCTGGAGAAGGGGGGTTGGGATGGGAGGGTCAGCTGTATGGGGACCTGGGATCGTGGGAGGAGGGATGGAAAGAGGTTCTTATGGTCTTCCACAACCTTTCACATTTTTCACACATTGCCATGTTTAAATTGCACCATTTGTAACCTTAGAAAATATACCAAACTGTGCCATTGTATATTCTACTGCTGTTTCTCATGATTGGTTAAAAAAAAAAGATGTAACACCAAGTTCCAGGGAAAGCTTTCCCAATCCTCATTCTTTGATTGTGGAATTGTAGGTCTTTATTGTCTGATCCACCCTTAACATAACAGTCTGGTATGATAAAGACTTCAATAGACAGATGTAACATGTCTAAGTTCCATCTGATTATTTCATGAGTTGGATAATCAATTGTGCAAATACTCTGAATGTAGACCATTCAAAGTTAGCAAAAACACGAAGATCTGTCTGCAAAGGCAGACAGGTGGTTTTTAGTGTACTCGTTTCGACTTAGCTGAATAAGCTGCTGATTTGTCATGTGTGTCATCCCAGTGCTTGGGAAGTGAACAGGGTGGAGCTGTGTTGGCTAATGAAAAATGTCCTTTTGACACAAAGAAGCTGAATAAATGTTGAATGTTTCAGTTATCAGTAAGTGGGCTCTAAAATCAAGCACACAGCCATGCAATCTCCATAGACAAATATTGGCAGTAGAATGCTCAGTGACATTCAATGTGGCACCGTCATAGGATGCCACCTTTCCAACAATTCAGTTCGTCAAATTTCTGCCCTGCTAGAGCTGCCCCGGTCAACTGTAAGTGCTGTTATTTTGAAGTGGAAACATCTAGGAGCAACAACGGCTCCCCCACGAAGTGGTAGGCCACACAAACTCACAGAATGGCACTGCTGAAGCGCATAAATCATAAAAATCGTCTGTCCTCGGTTGCAACACTCACTACTGAGTTCCAAACTGCCTCTGGAAGCAATGTCAGCACAATAACTGTTTGTCAGGAGCTTCATGAAATGGGTTTCCATGGCCGAGCAGCCGCACACAAGCCTAAGATCACCATGCGCAATGCCAAGCGTCGGCTGGAGTGGTGTAAAGCTCGCCGTTATTGGACTCTGGCGCAGTGGAAATGCGTTCTCTGGAGTGATGAATCACGCTTCACCATCTGGCAGACGAATCTGGCTTTGGCGGATGTCAGGAGAACGCTACCTGCCCCAATGCATAGTGCCAACTGTAAAGTTTGGTGGAGGAGGAATAATGGTCTTGGGCGGTTTTCCATGATTCGGGCTAGGCCCCTTAGTTCCAGTGAAGGGAAATCTTAACGCTATAGCATAAAATGACAATTTAGACGATACTTTGCTTCCAACTTTGTGGCAACAGTTTTGGCAAGGCCCTTCCCTGTTTCAGCATGACAATGCCCCCGTGCACAAAGCGAGGTCCATACAGAAAGTTTTGTCAAGATCTGTGTGGAAGAACTTGACTGGCCTGCACAGAGCCCTGACCTCAACCCCATCGAACACCTTTGGGATGAATTGGAACGCCGACTGCGAGCCAGGCCTAATCGCCCAACATCAGTGCTCGACCTCACTAATTCTCTTGTGGCTGAATGGAAGCAAGTCCCAGCAGCAATGTTCCAACATCTAGTGGAAAGCCTTCCTAGAACAGTAGAGGCTGTTGTAGCAGCAAAGGGGGGACCAACTCCATATTAATGCCCATAATTTTGGAATGAGATGTTCGACGAGCAGGTGTCCACATACCTTTGATCATGTAGTGTAGATTAGACAGAAGGGGAAAGCTTCCATTCCCACTGAAAGGTGACTTCCGAGCTGTGTGGCTCAACACAGCTTTCAAAGATTATAATTCCTGTTACATGTAATCCGTTACTACCCAACCCTGGGCATGTTATAGGTAATGATTAGGGGTCAGAGTAGAGGTTTCTGACCTTCTTCAGGTTGAGGCCGTGGGAGATGTTGTCGGCCGTGAGGAAGGCAGAGACCAGGTGGGTGATGGAGCCGGCCTCGCCACAGTGGGGCCGGAACTGGAAGGTGTTGAGGCCTCGTTCCCTGAGGGAAAACAAAGAATGACGCATTACATTCCATGAAGACTAATTTTCATAACAATTTTATTGGACAAATAAAGTATGTATTATATATTGCTGAGTCTACCTTTAGTCATAGCAGTAGGCTACACATAGGAATACCTTCAGTACAGTACATGTTTTCCTGACACCCTGGTCAGGAGCAGTGACTTACTTCCTCAGGTTGTTGAGCACCATGATGTTGGCGTACATGTGGAAGAGGTAATAACTGTAGGGGGGGTTGTCACCTGAGGTCCACTCCTCAGGTTTGGGGCTCTTGTAGGAGAACATGTGGTCACTGTGTTTGGACTCATCATCCACGCTGTCGAACCCGGTCACCTACAGGACAGGAGGGATGGATCTGAGCAGGTACCATAGCTAATGCACTGTAAACATTTTAGCACTAAATGGCTGCCATACATGATGCTTGACCAACTCTCATACAATGTAAAATGCTTTGAGACCCAGGGGAAAGTACTACTGTATAAATGCAATCCAATACCAACATTTTATTATTAGGAGGAATATACTGTTTTTTATATACAGTGAGGGAAAAAAGTATTTGATCAGTCTATAATTTTAATGGTAGGTTTATTTGAACAGTGAAAGACAGAATAACAACAAAAAAATCAGTAAGTATTTGACCCCCTCTCAAATCAGAAAGATTTCTGGCTCCCAGGTGTCTTTTATACAGGTAACAAGCTGAGATTAGGAGAACACTCTTAAAGGGAGTGCTCCTAATCTCAGTTTATTACCTGTATAAAAGACCCCTGTCCACAGAAGCAATCAATCAATCAGATTCCAAACTCTCCACCATGGCCAAGACCAAAGAGCTCTCCAAGGATGTCAGGGACAAGATTGTAGACCTACACAAGGCTGGAATGGGCTACAAGACCATCGCCAAGCAGCTTGGTGAGAAGGTGACAACAGTTGGTGCGATTATTCGCAAATGGAAGAAACACAAAATAACTGTCAATCTCCCTCGGCCTGGGGCTCCATGCAAGATCTCACCTCGTGGAGTTGCAATGATCATGAGAACGGTGAGGAATCAGCCCAGAACTACACGGGAGGATCTTGTCAGCTGGCACATCTCAAGGCAGCTGGGACCATAGTCACCAAGAAAACAATTGGTAACACACTACGCCGTGAAGGACTGAAATCCTGCAGCGTCCGCAAGGTCCCCCTGCTCAAGAAAGCACATATACAGGGCCGTCTGAAGTTTGCCAATAAACATCTGAATGATTCAGAGGAGAACTGGGTGAAAGTGTTGTGGTCAGATGAGACCAAAATCGAGCTCTTTGGCATCAACTCAACTCGCCGTGTTTGGAGGAGGAGGAATGCTGCCTATGACCCCAAGAACACCATCCCCACCGTCAAACATGGAGGTGGAAACATTATGCTTTGGGGGGGGGGGGGGGGGGGGGGGGGGTTCTGCTAAGGGGACAGGACAACTTCACCGCATCAAAGGGACGATGGACGGGGCCATGTACCGTCAAATCTTGGGTGAGAACCTCCTTCCCTCAGCCAGGGCATTGAAAATGGATTGTGGATGGGTATTCCAGCATGACAATGACCCAAAACACGGCCAAATTTTTTTTGGGGTTGCCTCTCGGGTCTCCGTCGTCGGCACAGTTGGCACCATTTCACCTCTCCTACCTGGGCATCTACCTTCGCCCATGGCCCTTTCCCCGCAAATATCTCCTCCCATGACCACCATTTGCCCACCTGTGACATGGCTATTTGCTCTTCCTGGGCACGCTGCTTGGTCCTCGTTTGGTGGGATCTTCTGTCACGGTCGTTTACAGACGGGACGGACCGAGGCGCAGCGTGATATGCATACATGTTTATTTAAATGAATAAACAACCAACAAAACAACAAACCAACGAAACGTGAAGTCCAACACAACACAAACACAAACACAAACACAAACACAAACACAACACAACACAACACAACACAACACAACACAACACAACACACACAACACAACACAACACAACACAACACAACACAACACAACACACACAACACAACACAACACAACACAACACAACACACAACACAACACAACACAACACAACACAACACAACACAACACAACACAACACAACACAACACAACACAACACAACACAACACAACACAACACAACACAACACAACACAACACAACACAACACAACACAACACAACACAACACAACACAACACAACACAACAACACACACAACACAACACACACAACACAACACAACACAACACAACACAACACAACACAACACAACACAACCCACTAGTGCCAATAGGCTGCCTAAGTATGGACCCCAATCAGAGACAACGAGCGACAGCTGCCTCTGATTGGGAACCACACCCGCCAACATAGAAATACACATACTAGAAAACCAACATAGAAATACACAACATAGAACATACACACCCTGACTCAACATATACGAGTCCCCTGAGTCAGGGCGTGACACACACCTACTCATTCAAGGGTTTTTCTTTATTTTTACAATTTTCTACATTGTAAAATAATAGTGAAGACATCAAAACTATGAAATAACACATATGGAATCATGTAGTAACCAAAAATGTGTTAAACAAATCAAAATCTATTTTATATTTGAGATAATTCAAAGTAGCCACCCTTTGCCTTGACAGCTTTGCACACTCTTGGCATTCTCTCAACCAGCGTCACCTGGAATGTTTTTCCTTCTGTCTTGAAGGAGTTCCCACATATACTGAGCACTTGTTGGCTGCTTTTCCTTCACTCTGCTGTCCAACTAATCCCAAACCATCTCAATTGAGTTTAAGTATTGTGGAGGCCAGGTCATCTGATGCAGCACTCCATCACTCTCCTTCTTGGTCAAATAGCCCTTACACAGCCTGGTGGTGTGTTGGGTCATTCGCCTGTTGAAAAACAAATGATTGTCCCACTAAGCCCAAACCAGATGGGATGGCATATCGCTGCAGAATGCTGTGGTAGCCATGCTGGTTAAGTGTGTCTTGAATTCTAAATAAATCACAGACAGTGTCACCAGCAAAGCACCCCCACACCATCACACCTCCTCCTCCATGCTTCATGTGTCACAAGTGTAGAGAGGAGTAGGCAGGAGGCAGTCGCAGGTTTGGAACTACTGAATTTATTAAAGCACCGTAGCTTAAAGCGGGACGAAACCCACAGTGCAAAATATAAAGTACTCAAGAAATAGTAGGAGAGATTCCGCTCAGGAAAACAAGCTACATATACAATGACCGACAAAGACAAATGACAGAGGGAGTATATATACAGTGATAGAGTGGGGATTGGAACCAGGTGTGTGTAATGATGACGAGACAAGTCCGGGGTTGATGAGTGAAGGGCGTTTGCCAGCAGCAGGTTCGGCAGCAGCTAGAAGGCTGGCGACGCCGAACGCCTGAGCTGGACAGGAGGGGGAGCCAAAGCGAAGGCTGGTGTGACATCGTGGGAACTACACATGCAGAGATCATCCGTTCACCTACACTGCGTCTCACAAAGACATGGCGGTTGTAACCAAACATCTCAAATTTGAACTCCAACCAAAGGACACATTTCCACCGGTCTAATGTCCATTGCTCGTGTTTCTTGGCCCAAGCAAGTCTCTTCTTATTATTGGTGTCCTTTAGTAGTGGTTTATTTGCAGCAATTCGACCATGAAGGCCTGATTCACGCAGTCTCCTCTGAACAGTTGATGTTGAGATGTGTCTGTTACTTCAACTCTGTGAAGCATTTATTTGGGCTGCAATCTGAGGTGCAGTTAACTCTAATGAACTTATCCTCTGCAGCAGAGGTAACTCTGGGTCTTCCTTTCCTGTGGCGGTCCTCATGAGAGCCAGTTTCATTATAGCGCTTGATGGTTTTTGCGACTGCACTTGAAGAAACTTTCAAAGTTCTTCACATTTTCCGGATTGACTGGAATTTCCACAAATTAACTTTTAACAAGGCACACCTGTTAATTGAAATGCATTCCAGGTGACTACCTCATGAATCTGGTTGAGAGAATGCCAATAATGTGCAAAGCTGTCTTCAAGGCAAAGGGTGGCTACTTTGAAGAATCTCAAATATAACATATATTTTGATTTGTTTAACACTTTTTTGGTTACTACATGTTTCCATATGTGTTATTTCATATTTGTGATGTCTTCACAATTATTCGACAATCTAAAAATAAAGAAAAACCTTTGAATGAGTAGGTGTGTCCAAACTTTTGACTTACAGTACGCACACAGGTCGAGAGAAAAAATGTATATGACAGACAGTGACACAAGGACAGACAGTGACACATTCAATACCGCCTTGCACACTCTTGCCTGCATCTATCTTATCTAGTCCAACAGTTACAAACGAGAGCTTCTATTGGACAAATTCAGGTATTTTTATCCCCGTTTGGCAGAATGAATACACCCCTGATCACTAATAAACACAGTTCACTTTCACAGTTCACCTCTATGCACTCTCCTCCTCTCACCTTTTCCATCGGTTTGTGGACTTCACTGAACAACACATCAGCTGTAAGTGACCAGGCGAAAAAACCTTTCCAAGCCAAACCATGTCATAACCGCTACACACTGCCTACATCGTTGTCCCCATATTACAGTGGGGAGAACAAGTATTTGATACACTGCCGATTTTGCAGGTTTTCCTACTTACAAAGCACGTAGAGGTCTGTAATTTTTATCATAGGTACACTTCAACTGTGAGAGACGGAATCTAAAACAAAAATCCAGAAAATCACATTGTATGATTTTTAAGTAATTAATTTGCATTTTATTGCATGACATACAGTGGGGAAAAAAAGTATTTAGTCAGCCACCAATTGTGCAAGTTCTCCCACTTAAAAAGATGAGAGAGGCCTGTAATTTTCATCATAGGTACACGTCAACTATGACAGACAAAATTAGAAAAAAAAATCCAGAAAATCACATTGTAGGATTTTTAATGAATTTATTGGCATATGATGGTGGAAAATAAGTATTTGGTCAATAACAAAAGTTTCTCAATACTTTGTTATATACCCTTTGTTGGCAATGACACAGGTCAAACGTTTTCTGTAAGTCTTCACAAGGTTTTCACACACTGTTGCTGGTATTTTGGCCCATTCCTCCATGCAGATCTCCTCTAGAGCAGTGATGTTTTGGGCTGTCGCTGGGCAACACAGACTTTCAACTCCCTCCAAAGATTTTCTATGGGGTTCAGATCTGGAGACTGGCTAGGCCACTCCAGGACCTTGAAATGCTTCTTACGAAGCCACTCCTTCGTTGCCCGGGCGGTGTGTTTGGGATCATTGTCATGCTGAAAGACCCAGCCACGTTTCATCTTCAATGCCCTTGGTGATGGAAGGAGGGTTTCACTCAAAATCTCACGATACATGGCCCCATTCATTCTTTCCTTTACACGGATCAGTCGTCCTGGTCCCTTTGCAGAAAAACAGCCCCAAAGCATGATGTTTCCAACCCCATGCTTCACAGTAGGTATGGTGTTCTTTGGATGCAACTCAGCATTCTTTGTCCTCCAAACATGACGAGTTGAGTTTTTACCAAAAAGTTATATTTTGGTTTCATCTGACCATATGACATTCTCCCAATCCTCTTCTGGATCATCCAAATGTACTTCAGACGGGCCTGGACATGTACTGGCTTAAGCAGGGGGACACATCTCGCACTGCAGGATTTGAGTCCCTGGCGGCGTAGTGTGTTACTGATGGTTGGCTTTGTTACTTTGGTCCCAGCTCTCTGCAGGTCATTCACTAGGCCCCCTGTGTGGTTCTGGGATTTTTGCTCACTGTTCTTGTGATCATTTTGACCCCACGGGGTGAGATCTTGCGTGGAGCCCCAGATCGAGGGAGATTATCAGTGGTCTTGTATGTCTTCCATTTCCTAATAATTGCTCCCACAGTTGATTTCTTCAAACCAAGCTGCTTACCTATTGCAGATTCAGTCTTCCCAGCCTGGTGCAGGTCTACAATTTTGTTTTTGGTGTCCTTTGACAGCTCTTTGGTCTTGGCCATTGTGAAGTTTGGAGTGTGACTGTTTGAGGTTGTGGACAGGTGTCTTTTATACTGATAACAAGTTCAAACAGGTGCCATTAATACAGGTAACGAGTGGAGGACAGAGGAGCCTCTTAAAGAAGAAGTTACAGGTCTGTGAGAGCCAGAAATCCTGCTTGTTTGTAGGTGACCAAATACTTATTTTCCACCATCATTTGCAAATAAATTCATAAAAAATCCTACAATGGGATTTTCTGGATTTTTTTTTCTCAATTTGTCTGTCATAGTTGACGTGTACCTATGATGAAAATTACAGGCCTCTCTCATCTTTTTAAGTGGGAGAACTTGCACAATTGGTGGCTGACTAAATACTTTTTTCCCCCACTGTAAGTATTTGATCACCTACCAACCAGTAAGAATTCCGTCTCTCACAGACCTGTTAGTTTTTCTTTAAGAAGCCCTCCTGTTCTCCACTCATTACCTGTATTAACTGCACCTGTTTGAACTCGTTACCTGTATAAAAGACACCTGTCCACACACTCAATCAAACAGACTCCAACCTCTCCACAATGGCCAAGACCAGAGAGCTGTGTAAGGAAATCAGGGATAAAATTGTAGACCTGGGATGGGCTACAGGACAATAGGCAAGCAGCTTGGTGAGAAGGCAACAACTGTTGGCGCAATTATTAGAAAATGGAAGAAGTTCAAGATGACGGTCAATCACCCTCGGTCTGGGGCTCCATGCAAGATCTCACCTCGTGGGGCATCAATGATCATGAGGAAGGTGAGGTATCAGCCCAGAACTACACGGCAGGACCTGGTCAATGACCTGAAAAGAGCTGGGACCACAGTCTCAAAGAAAACCATTAGTAACACACTACGCCGTCATGGCTTAAAATCCTGCAGCGCACGCAAGGTCCCACTGCTCAAGCCAGCGCATGTCCAGGCCCGTCTGAAGTTTGCCAATGACCATCTGGAGGATCCAGAGGAGGAATGGGAGAAGGTCATGTGGTCTGATGAGACAAAAATAGAGTGTTTTGGTCTAAACTCCACTCGCCGTGTTTGGAGGAAGAAGAAGGATGAGTACAACCCCAAGAACACCATCCCAACCATGAAGCATGGAGGTGGATACATCATTCTTTGGGGATGTTTTTCTGCAAAGGGGACAGGACAACTGCACCGTATTGAGGGGAGGATGGATGGGGCCATGTATCGCGAGATCTTGGCCAACAACCTCCTTCCCTCAGTAAGAGCATTGAAGATGGGGTCGTGGCTGGGTCTTCCAGCATGACAACGACCCGAAACACACAGCCAGGGCAACTAAGGAGTGGCTCCGTAAGAAGCATCTCAAGGTCCTGGAGTGGCCTAGCCAGTCTCCAGACCTGAACCCAATAGAAAATCTTTGGAGGGAGCTGAAAGTCCGTATTGCCCAGTGACAGCCCCGAAACCTGAAGGATCTGGAGAAGGTCTGTATGGAGGAGTGGGCCAAAAACCCTGCTGCAGTGTGTGCAAACCTGGTCAAGACCTACAGGAAACGTATGATCTCTGTAATTGCAAACAAAGGTTTCTGTACCAAATATTAAGTTCTGCTTTTCTGATGTATCAAATACTTATGTCATGCAATAAAATGCAAATTAATTACTTAAAAATCATACAATGTGATTTTCTGGATTTTTGTTTTAGATTCCGTCTCTCACAGTTGAAGTGTACCTATGATAAAAATTACAGACCTCTACATGCTTTGTAAGTAGGAAAACCTGCAAAATCGGCAGTGTATCAAATACTTGTTCTCCCCACTGTAGCTAAAGTAACGTCCTAGTCAACATAATGATAGCTAATACAACTAATACGTTAGAAACCCGCTACAATCATGCAGTAACGTTACAGTGTATAGTCAGTAAGCAGTTACACTGGCGGGCCGTTGCAATAAATTAATAAAACCAAAAGCTTACCTTGACTTGGAAGAGTTCCAGTGTTGTGTTGGATAGTCATAGCCAGCTAGTTAACATAGCATCTCTCTTTGAGCCAGGTGTTTGAGTAACTAAACTAGCTAGCTGCATTTGCTAGCTAAGTAAGTGAAACTGAATGTGAAAAAAAGGACAATCTCTCTTTCTCTTGCTTCTCCTTCATTTTTGAAGAAATTAATTTGTTGAAAACTGTTTAACTATTGTCTTTCTCTCTCTTTGAGTCAACTACTCACCACATTTTATGCATTGCAGTGCTAGCTAGTTGTAGCTTATGCTTTCAGTACTAGATTCATTCTCGGATCCCTTGATTGGGTGGACAACATGTCAGTTCATGCTGCAAGAGCTCTGATAGGTTGGAGGACATCCTCCGGAAGATGTCATAATTACTGTGTAAGTCTATGGAAGGGGGTGAGAACCAAGAGCCTCCTAGGTTTTGTACTGAAGTCAATGTACCAAGAGGAGGACAGAAGGTAGCTGTCCTTCGGCTACACCATGGTGCTACCCTGCAGAGTGCTGTTGAGGCTACAGTAGACCTTCATTGCAAAACATTTGTATTTTAATCAATTATTTGGTGACATGTGAATATATTTATCTAAAAAGGTTAAATTTTTTAATGTTTTACAATTTTTGTTTTTATGAAATTCACTGAGGAGGATGGTCCTCCCCTTCCTCCACTGAGGAGCCTCCACTGGGTGGCAGCATCATGCTGTGGGGATGTTTTTCAGCGGCAGGGACTGGGAGACTAGTCAGGATCGAGGGAAAGATGAACGGAGCAAAGTACAGAGAGATCCTTGATGAAAACCTGCTCCAGAGCGCTCAGGACCTCAGACTGGGGCAAAGGTTCACCTTCCAACAGAACAACGACCCTAAGCACACATCCAAGACAAGGTTGAATGTCCTTGAGTGGCCCAGCCAGAGCCCGGTTTTGAACCCCATCTAACATTCTTGGAGAGACTTGAAAATAGCTGTGCAGCGACGCTCCCCATCCAACCTGACAGAGCTTGAGAGGATCTGCAGAGAAGAATGGGAGAAACTCCCCAAATACAGGTGTGCCAAGCTTGTAGCGTCATACCCAAGAAGACTCAAGGCTGTGATCGCTGCCAAAGATGCTTCAAGTACTGAGTAAAGGGTCTGAATACAAAAATGTCTAAAAACCTGTTTTTGCTTTGTCTTTATGGGGTATTGTGTGTAGATTGTTGAGGGGAATTTTTTTTGAATCCGTTTTAGAATAAGGCTGTAATGTAACAAAATGTGGAAAAAGTCAAGGGGTCTGAATACTTTCCGAATGCACTGTATATAGTTATTTCCCTATTTCTGACATGGAAAATCAGTCTGATAAAGTTGAGCTACCCTGCTGTGTGTTGTAAATACTCACGTATTTCAAGAAAATGTGTATCTCCTTGTTCTTTTGTGGATTGACTGTAGCCTCGAACAGTGGGAGGAAAATATTCTCCAACAGTTTGGCGAAGTTCTGTATTATCTTCTTCGACTTGAAAATGTCACTGCAAGACAAAATGTTACATTTCTGAAACATATCTTTAGATAGACAGATGTAATTTGCTTGATCATTGTAAGACTAATGATGGATTAAATTCAATTATTTGTTGATCAATAATAATGCTGACAACTGCCTTTCTTTTTTCAAGTTGCAGCACCATTCCTACTATCTTTTGTGTGACTAAAACACTCTTAGAAAAAATGGTTCTTCGGCTGTCCCCATAGGAGCACCCTTTTTGGTTCCAGGTAGAACCCTTTTTTTCTAAGAGTGTCGGCCCACCATTGGTATTTGCAAACAAGAGCTGGGAATCAATTGGTTCCAAGTTAAATAACAACCAGTAAATTGACCATCACCTTGGTTTACAATGTAACATGTCCTATTTTACACATCTCCATTGCCACTTACAACTAGTGAAGTCTTACAAAGACCATTATGGTTGAAGAATTATAGTACCACCACCCTAGAGATCAGCATTGAGAGCAGCATTCCCTTATCTTCCCTTCTCCCTGTGGCACTTACTAGATCCTGGGCACCTGGATGATCCATCGCATGTTGGGGGAGTGAACCTTGTGCTGGATGAACCATGAGGCCAGGCTCTCCCACTCATCAGGGGAGCGGCCGTAGATGGACATACGGGGCTCTGCGTGCTGGTACTTACTCTCCTCCAGCTCATGAGCCACTTCCTGTTATAGAGGAAGAGGAAAAGAATTACAGTACGTTAGAGATGCCCATGATAGTGGAGTTGATATTGAGCATAAGTTGATCCTATACCTTGATGATGCGTGCAAAGTATTCCCCTTTGATGTAGTTGTCTGTTTTCAGGTAAATCTCTCTGAGTTCGCTTGCTCCCACAGGGTTGTACTTGGAGTTGAACTTATCAAAGCGGTGGAATGTTTGCCTTCCCTAATAGAGTAAACATTTATAATTTATTACATGCTTTTGTCAACAATGGCAGTTTAGCACCACTATCATTGTGATCCTCAAACACAAGTTACATGGAACCTACTGCCAAACTGCAATTGTTTAAAGACATACTTCTGAATATTCATATGCATTATAAAGGTGTTATGAACTGCTTATGAACAGTTTAATCGGTATGCTGAATAGGTTATTAAATGTGTTTAAAAACGTGATATTATTTCAAGCATTGGAGCACGTAAGTGTTTCTGGAACATTCTTACAGCGTGTACGTCCAGGGAGTCCACAGTGAGGTCATAGGGGTCCATGGCCAGGGTGTCAAACACCTGTTTCAAGGTGATCATCTGGCCCCCCTTCTCCAGCACCACGCGGTCTGCCTCGGTCTTGTAGGTGGTCTGGATGAACTTCAGCAGGTGCTTCTGGTTCATGCAAGCGGCTGCGTGGATGTGAGTGTCTACCTGTATTTATGAGGAGGCATAAGACAGACATATTTTGTCAGCTTGTTCTAAAGCACAGCTTGAGTCAGTGAGATGTAATGTATGACCATCTAATCATGGGAGTTTCAACCCTTTTATTTGCGTTACATCTTATACTCTATACACTACCGTTCAAAAGTTTGGTGTCACTTAGAATTGTCCTTGTTTTACATGAAAACCTACATTAAATTAGTTTGAATAGGAAATATAGCAAATGAATAGGAAATGTATTCATTGACAAGATTAGAAATAATGATTTTTAATTGAAATAATAATTGTGTCCTTCAAACTTTGCTTTCGTCAAAGAATCCTCAATTTGCCACAATTACAGCCTTGCAGACCTTTGGCATTCTAGTTGTCAATTTATTGAGGTAATATGAAGAGATTTCACCCCATGCTTCCTGAAGCACCTCCCACAAGTTGGATTGCCTTGATTGGCACTTCTTACGTACGATACGGTCAAGCTGCTCCCACAACAGCTCAATAAGGCTGAGATCCGGTGACTGTGCTGGCCACTCCATTATAGACAGAATACCAGCTGACTGCTTCTTCCCTAAATAGTTATTGCATAGTTTGGAGCTGTGCTTTGGGTCATTGTCCTGTTGTAGGAGGAAATTGGTTCCAATCAAGCGCCGTCCACAGGGTATGGCATGGCGTTGCAAACAAAATGGAGTGATAGCCTTCCTTCAAGATCCCTTTTACCCTGTACAAATATCCCACTTTACCACCACCAAAGCACCCCCAGACCATCACATTGCCTCCACCATGCTTGACAGATGGCATCAAGCATTCCTCCAACATCTTTTCATTTGGTCTGCGTCTAACAAATGTTATTCTTTGTGATCCGAACACCTCAAACTTCAATTCGTCTGTCCATAACACTTTTTTCCAGTGTCTGTGTTCTTTGACCATCTTAATCTTTTATTTTTATTGGCCAGTCTGAGATATGGCTTTTTCTTTGCAACTCTGCCTAGAAGGTCAGCATCCCGGAGTCGCCTCGTCACTGTTGACGTTGAGACTGGTGTTTTGCGGGTACTATTTAATGAAGCTGCCAGTTGAGGACCTGTGAGGCGTCTGTTTCTCAAACTAGACACTAATGTATTTGTCCTCTTGCTTAGTTGTGCACCGGGGCCTCCCACTCCTCTTTCTATTCTTGTTAGAGCTAGTTTGCGCTGTTCTGTGAAGGGAGTAGTACACAGCATTGTACGAGATCTTCAGTTTCTTGGCAATTTCTTGCATGGAATAGCCTTAATTTCTCAGAACAAAAATAGACTGACGAGTTACAGAAGAAGGTTCTTTGTTTCTGGCAATTTTGATTCTGTAATCAAACCCACAATTGTTGATGCTCCAGATACTCAACTAGTCTCAGGAAGGCCAGTTTTATTGCTTCTTTAATCAGCACAACAGTTTTCAGCTGTGCTAACATAATTGCAAAAGGGTTTTCTAATGATCAATTAGCCTTTTAAAATGATAAACTTGGATTAGTAAACACAACGTGCCATTGGAACACAGGACTGATGGTTGCTGATAATGGGCCTCCGTACGCCTATGTAGATATTCCATAAAAAAATCAGCCATTTCCAGCTACAATAGCCATTTACAACATTAACAATGTCTACACTGTTTTTCTGATCAATTTTATATTTTAATTGACAAGGAAATGTATAAGTGACCCCAAGCTTTTGAATGGTAGTGTACATCACCAACCTTCCTGACGTTATAGAAGTCTCTGTGAGGTACACCTTTCAGCTCCTTCAACTCAGCCATCTCATTCAACATCTCATGCAGATAAAACTTGGAGGCCACAAAGTTCAGTCGTCTGTGGCAGTAGGTTTTCCTGGAAGAAGAATGAGATGACATTAGAAACACTGTAATAGAGGGGTCATTGGGAATTGGGCAACAGTGGGAGGTGGTGATATTGGTGGTGGGGTGCTCACGTGGGCCCGTCTGCGATCATGGCGAGGACATGGCTGAGGTCTATCGCGAAGGTCTCCAAGTCGGGGTAGGGCAGGCTGTGGGGCTGCTGCTGCTTCAGGGCCTCTGCATCGTCGTACACGTACACGATGCCGTCCTTCATCTGCAGCGGGTAGTTCAGGTCGTCAGGTATGCCCTCCGTAGTGTACGGGTCCTCCCCCTCTCGAGGGCAGGGGCACATGTCTGCAGAGGACAGGATTAAATAAGTGGACAGAGGGAAGAGTGGAGAGAGTGAGAGGAAACGACAGAAGAAGAGGATGAGTGTCTCGAATTGGAGTTACTTTTCCTATGAGTCCTTTTCAGAAATAATCAAGGCAAAGCTGTTTCTAGGGCTCTTTGCCCCAAAGTCTTATACTGTATCTATCACATTGATGAGCAGGTAGCTGGTATGTGGTTGATGCTGGATGTGTACAATGTGATTCTCTACCTGGCAAGATCTCGTCCTCCACGTTCCACTTCTGGTTCTCAGCGCTGCGGAGAAACTGGGCGGTGGTCCTGTGGAAGCGGTGGTAGGCCAGCCTGGAGTACTTCTCTCTGATGAACAGGGCCTTCATCAGGGTCTTGGCTGCCTGCTCATAGTCCTCCACTGTGATCTGGGAATGAAGTGTGTTGACAGGCCATTATAGGCAATACACTGTCATTAGAAATGGCAACTCCTAGAAGTATTGTTTCCAAGCTAGCTCTTGCCTTGGTATAATTTTTTGGGGGATCATTGCATGAAGTATATGACATGATTTGTGATGTGATTAAATTAGATCATACAAGTATCATATTATTGTATGACGTCGCTTACCCCTGCACAATAATCTCCGCTGATGGTGACCCTCTGGAACTCTGGGGAGTTCTCTGGGATACTAGGGCAGACAGGGGCGCCAGGGGAAAGCAGAGGGGTGACTACAGACATAGCCCACTCTGGATTGATGTTGAAGGAAATGGGGACCTGCTGAGATACCGACTGGTAACGCTTAACCTTAAAACTCTTCTTCCTGGAGAGACCAACATCATACAAGTGGATAAGTGGACATTCCGGACCCTAGTCTCCTTTTTAACTCAATGTCATTCAAGTCACTTGGGGAAAATAATCCTCACTGAAAATGTCTACATTTGAAGATCAGTTCATTTCAGTGACTTGACATGAACTGAAATACTTTGAAATTGACTCCCAGTGTCCCTGACCTATTAGACCCATTAGTTTTTCTGTGCCCTCTGACCTCTTGACGCTTTCCTCAGAGTACTGCTCGGCGATCTCCTTGAGCATCTCCATCTCCCGGTCCTGGTGCAGGCCGATCGGGCAGTCCTCAGGCACAGTGTACATGGACAGGGCATCCTTGGTGTCCTCCTCCTTCAACGCCGAGGCGTACACCTTCTCTGCCAGAAGACGCACCGACTCATCCACCTCGCTCAGCGAGATCTTAGGGAACTGACGCGGCATCTCTACTGAAACAAAGGAACACACACGTACTCTGACTATCACAGATATGCTTTTACTATGCAGGATTGAAGTATACTGTATTCGTGAAATATACTGGTATTTTTTTAGGTTTCAAACACACAGTTGTGACATTGTCCTTTATAATTGAGTTATAAAATGACTTATAAATGACTTATAAATGAAGGCTGTTGGTATGATTATTATATTATCTATGATGAAGTACTACTGCTGTTACGGAAAATAAAACAGTATCTTAGCAGAGGCAGTAAATAACTACAGGGTAAGCAGGAGACTCACACACAACAGGCTGAATCTGAGAGCATGGTGTAATGGGGACACGTGTGTTTCGTAACACCTCAGTTTAAATCACTGCAGTTAACATGTCCTTGAGTGTCCTTGTCTCCTGTTTCTATGTGCCTTCATTTGCTGCGTCATAATCATGTTACAGTAAACAAAACTATTCACCAAAAAGGTCATGTTACAGAGACAGAGTCACCTTTGACCTTCTGGATCAGAGGTCAGTCATTGAGCATGAAAAGGAAAATCGTTCACCCACCCAGCCTCTCTGTCTCCAATTATCTGTCTCAGTGACTCTATACATTTTGTTTCTAAAGCATTTTTTGACTGTGTTACAGACAAAATGGCCTTGATAATGTGTTGAGTATGCATAAAATCGTGTGAAGAGAAGTGTGTGATACATACTGTAGTAGGATATGTCACAGTTCATGGGATAGCATGAGCTCATGGCTGATTATGACCATATTAGGTGGACCATATTAGGTGACTGCCTCCCCCCTCCTCACAAAAAAGGTTTAGAAATTATTCCTTTCTTGTTCTACAGAATTGCCCATAGGCTTGGTTCAGGGTAGATCTGGTAACTGTGATATTTGTTTCTGCCTGGCAGTTTCACAAAACCACTGTTGTCACGACTTCCGCCGAAGCTGCCCCCCTTCCTAGTTCGAGCAGGCTTCGGCGTTCGTCGTTCGTCGAGTACTTGCTACTGCCGATACCATTCTCATCACTCCACTTGTCATGTCTTGTCAATCACACATACCTGGTGCTCATTCCCCTAATTAGTATGTGTATAAGTGTTCCCTCTGTTCCCCTTGTCTTTGTGAGTGATTGTTTTGTTGTGAGAGCGTTTAGCTCGGTTGAGCTACATTTCACTGTGTTATTGCCAAGGTGGATGTTTTCCCTTGTAAAGTTTCGTTTGACGCTTGGGGCGTTTGATTTATGCAAACAGATTAAACTCTGGACTTCGGTATTTTACCTCCTGCGCCTGACTCCTTTTTTCACACCTCGTCACAGAATCACTCACCTGATCTGATATGGAGTCAGCACGAGAAGGCCGCATGCCTGGAGTTGTGGCAAGGGTCCAGGAGCATTCCTCGATGTTGGCCAGCTTGGGGGAAGCGATGGATCGGGTTCTTCAGGTGGTAGAACGCCTGGAGAGGAGAGGATCCGATCTATCGAGACCAGCTGGTCAACCGGATCCAGCCACCTACACCCCAGCCCCTGGAGGGATCCAGATATCCCGGCCACCGGCGTTTGACGGGACTGCAGCACGCTGTAAGGGATTCCTACTCCAACTGGAGTTGTATTTCTCCAGCATCAGACCGGAGCCCTGGGAGCGGGAGAAGGTATCCATCCTAATTTCCTGCCTTTGTGGAGAGCCCTGGAGTGGGCCAACGTGGTATGGAATGAGGGAGGTACCACGTTGAAGAACTACGGGGAGTTTACTCGCCTCTTTAGGGCCGTTTTTCATCACCCGCCTGAGGGTCGAGAGGCGGGCGAACGACTGGTTCATCTAAGGCAGGGGACGAGGACCGCTCAGGACAACGCGCTGGAGTTCCGGACGCTGGCAGCGGGGTCCGGGTGTAACGAGCGGGCCCTGACAGACCATTTCCAGTGCCACCTAAGGGAGGACGTCCGATGGGAGCTAGCCTGCCGGGATGCCATGCTATCGTTCTCCCAACTGGTGGACATGGCCATCCGGCTGGACAATCTGCTAGCAGCCAGAGGACATCCTGGTAGGGGTCTGCCCATTTCCACTCCGGACGACTCTGACCCCGAGCAGATGGAGCTGAGGGGAGCCGCTTTTCGAGAGAGCGCAGGAGGACAGCGACAGTGCCACTCTGGTGGCACGAAGGGACAATCCACCTCATGTCGCTGTCAACGTTCTTTTGGGGCTGGAGGCGGTAGGCAGGGTACTCACGCATCACCCCAGGTAACGAACACCCAAACGTGTTCAGAGCCCTTTGCGGCGCACTGTACTTTATCTATCTCGTTTCCAGATCACTTGGTCGGTTCCCAGTGTAAGGCGCTAGTCGAATCAGGCACAGCTGGGAATTTTATGGACAGGGCATTTGCACACCGTCAAGGCATTTCATTGGTTCCCCTAACCATTCCACTCCCCATCAGAGCACTAGATAGTCGACCATTAAGGGTCCGGGTTGGTTAAGGAAGTTACTGTACCAGTCACCATGATTACGCAGGAGACACATGTTGAGCAGATCACCTTTATGATCATTGAGTCTCCTGCTTACCCTGTAGTCTTGGGTATCCCGTGGTTAGCCCTTCACAACCCCAATTTCTCATGGCCGCAGAGGGTTCTTACGGGGTGGTCGCGTGAGTGTCCAGGTAGGTGTCTAGGTGTTTCCGTTGGTGCAACCACGGTGGTGCACATTCCCCCCGAATACCATGATCTGGCTCTCCCGTTTTCCAAGACGCAAGCGACTAAATTACCACCTCATCGGGAGGGGGATTGCGCGATAAACCTTCGGGTAGATGCTGTACCTCCCAGGAGTCATGTGTGTCCCCTGTCGCAGGCTGAAACGGAGGCTATGGAAATATATGTCACCGAGTCCCTGCGCCAGGGGTATATACATCCCTCCACTTCACCTGCCTCCTCGAGTTTCTTCTTTGTGAAGAAGAAAGATGGCAGTTTAAGCCCATGCATTGATTATCGACCACTGAATAATGTGACGGTACGATTTAGTTATCCTCTTCCCCTCATTCCTTCAGTGATTGAGTCAATGCATGGGGCCCGTTTTTTCACCAAATTAGAACTCAGGAGTGCCTACAACCTGGTGCGTATTCGGAAAGGGGATGAGTGGAAAACAGCATTCAGCACAACCTCGGGTCATTATGAATACCTGGTGATGCCCTACGGTTTGATGAATGCTCTATGGGTTTTCCAGTCCTTTGTGAACGAGTTGTTTCGGAACATGCTTAGTCGCGGTGTGGTGGTCTACATCGATGACATCCTGGTGTATTCCGCTACGCGCGCTGAGCATGTGTCCCTGGTTCGCAAAGTACTGGTCCGACTGCTGGAAAATTATCTTTATGCCAAGGCAGAGAAGTGTGAGTTTTTCCAGCAGTCAATCTCCTTCCTCGGATATCGCATTACCACCACAGGTGTGGAGATGGAGGGAGATCGCATTGCAGCCGTGCGTAATTGGAAGACTCCAACCACGGTAAAGGAGGTGCAGCGCTTCCTTGGCTTTGACAACTACTATCGAAGGTTTATTCAGGGTTTGGCAAGGTCGCAGCTCCCATTACCTCCTTGTTGAAGGGTGTGCCATCCCGGCTCCGCTGGTCTGCTGAGGCTGATTTGGCATTCAGTAGATTGCGGGGTCTGTTCACCTCAGCCCCGGTGCTGGCCCACCCCGATCCATCACTACCGTTTATAGTGGAGGTGGATGCGTCCGAGGTAGGGATAGGAGCTGTCTTATCCCAACGCTCGGGCACGCCACCCAAGCTCCGCCCCTGTGCCTTCTTTTCTAAGAAGCTCAGCTTGGCGGAGCAGAACTACAGCGTTGGTGATCGGGAGCTGCTGGCTGTTGTCCGAGCTTTGACGGTGTGGAGACATTGGCTCGAAGGGGTGAAACACCCTTTCCTCGTCTGGACAGACCACCATAACCTGGAGTACATTCGGGCAGCGAGGAGGCTGAATCCTTGCCAGGCCAGGTGGGCCCTCTTCTTCACCCGGTTTGATTTCACACTCTCATACATTCCGGGTACGAAGAACGTGAAGGCAGACGCACTGTCTCGGCTGTATGACACAGAGGAGAGGCCCAGAGACAACACCCGCATACTCCCGGCCTCATGCATGGTGGCGCCGGTAGTATGGGCGATGGATGTAGATATAGCGCAGGCATTACGCACAGATCCATCTCCACCGCAGTGTCCAGCTGGGCTGCAGTACGTGCCTGCGCTTATCCGTGATCGTCTGATCTACTGGGCACACACGTCACCCTCCTCTGGTCACCCAGGTATCGATCGTACAATGCGCTGCCTGACCGAGAAGTACTGGTGGCCTACCTTGGCTAAGGATGTGAGGATGTATGTTTCCTCATGCTCAGTGTGTGCCCAGAGTAAGGCACCTAGGCACCTCCCAGCGAGTAAGCTACAACCTTTACCAGTTCCACAACGACCATGGTCTCACCTGAATATTGACTTTCTCACTGATCTTCCCCTCTCCCAAGGTAACACCACTATCCTGGTCGTTGTGGACCGCTTTTCAAAGTCCCGCCGCCTCCTTCCTCTGCCCGGTCTCCCCATGGCCCTACAAACTGCAGAGGCTCTGTTTACTCACGTCTTCCGGCACTACGGGGTACCAGAGGATATAGTGTCCGACCAAGGTCCCCAGTTCACATCTAGAGTCTGGAAGAAGTTCATGGAACGTCTGGGGGTCTCGGTCAGCCTGACCTCTGGTTTTCACCCCGAGAGCAATGGGCAGGTGGAAAGGGTGAATCAAGATGTGGGTAGGTTCCTGCGGACCTACTGACAGGAACGGCCGGGGGAGTGGTCAGTGTTCCTGCCATGGGCAGAATATGCTCAGAACTCTCTCCGCCACTCCTCCACTAACCTAACACCCTTCCAATGTGTTTTGGGTTACCAACCGGTCCTGGCACCGTGGCACCAGAACCAGACCGAGGATCCCGCAGTGGATGACTGGTTTCGGCGCGCGGAGGAGACTTGCGACGCTGCCCACATTCGCCTCCAGTGCGCCGTACGTCGTCAGAAGGCCAACGCTGACCGCCACCGCAGGGAGGCCCCGGTGTTCGTA